TTGAGAACCAGTTGAGAACAATGGCACTTATATATTCCTTGTGTGCCTTGATGATGGATGGATGGATTGATGGAGATTATATTCCTGAGCATTGAAATGCAGCATTAAACCACAGGAAAACAGCAGTCACAGTCATGTGTGGCAGCTAAATGCATTTTTTTTTTCTAAAAGATTCCATGGTTTAATGTCTATGCACTGCATATGTGCTATGGTTGCCATGCGCTACATCCACAGAGTGTGTCAGATAGAAACTGCTGTGACAAAACAATTTCAGAGGGGGCACTAGGAGTTTTGGCTAAGTTGTTAAATCTCTTAGTCAGTGCTGTACTGTGTTTTGGATTGCATGAACGTACACAGCTTGTTATCAAGTGATTGACAGCAGTAAAATAAGTGTGGGTCCAAACACAAGCTTGGACCCATTTGTCAGATGCTTTTGATTATCATAACAACTACTAAAGTAATGAATTTAGAGCTCTATATTAATGTTAACAGAAGTGACATTTGCACTGATACGCTGTTTCCTACAAATTATTTTATTTGATTAAAGAAACTTCTTTTTGTTCTCTTAATTTCTCAGCCCCAAATTTGTTTATTGGTCTGCTGTTTCTCCGTGCTCATTTATAACTAAGATAGGCTCAGTTAGCACACAACACAATTAGTGTATTACTGTTGGCTCACAAAATGGCTGAAAAAGCATTTGCTCTTTCTCTTAAGCAGACATATTGATCATATTGAACAACAGCCAAGCCACTCGTATTTTCTTTTCTCAGTATTAATCCATGAAACTGAATTGCACTGTTCCAACAAGAATCCAGTGAAGGCCGAAACAAAAAGAACCTATAAGCCCATTCTCCCATATCACTGTTTTCTACTAACCCTACTTCATCTCAGTCCAAGCCCCCCCTAATCCGCAGCATTAAATTCCCATCTCTTTACATTCAAATATCACAGTTTTCTCAGCCTGTAATCTGATCTGAAATTGTTTAATAACTAGAAGGTTGGGGAATGGTGTGGGATATGCCTTTGCTTCATGCAGCATCTTTTTCTGCATTTGCTTTTTCATTCTTATTCTCTGCATCTTTTCTTCTTGTTTTTAGTAGCCCTGGGTCATTCTGTCCCTGAACCAAACAAATAATTGGGAAGCTAAAAGCACAAACAGGCTCATGAGATATCAAGGGTCTTCTAAACAAAATCAAACGCCAGCTTGTGTCGAGCCACATTGCTGCAGTTCTGTAGTCATGACTTTTCATTATTCAATTTCAAACCTACAGAGATATTTCTTGATCTTAATCCCCTTGTGTGGCTAAAAACTTGAATTACTATTGGATTTGTGTCTATTTAAGAAGTTTTTTTCTCATAATAAGCCTTAACGGGGGAAAAAAGAGTGGTCGACTGTGACAGTAAACTTCCATACTCTTCCCTGCTTCCTTCACCTGCTTTCGGCCAGCAATTTTATTTAAATTCCCCCACAAGACTTACAAATGGAAGTAAGGATCTTCTAGTTGTCTGCTCCCATCTATAGCCACAACCCCACTGTTTCGAGATCCCTTGAACATTTGCGCAGTTGCTTATAGCTCGAAGGTCAGTCACAGCAATGCTTTACATTCATTGAATGTTCATACATGAAATGTTGGTTGTATATATATTTTTTTATGTTGAATTGGTAGTAGGGGAACACTCTCGTCTTGAATGACCTAGCTTGGTGCACAACGGGCCATGCCAAAAATGCACAAATGGGCTGCTTTTGGTAGTGAGACACAAACAAAAAGTGTTAACATTTTAGCTAGTTTTAAGCATCCGTATTGGTCTCATTAATTTGGCCCCAGCCAGTGGGTTATGAGACAAGCGTGATTCCCCATTTGTTATGCCCCGCTACAATTTGTTGGCCTCAAGAGTTCTGCCCTATGGAATATCATCCTCAGACAAAAACCCAGTTTCCCAGAAGGCTTGTGTTACTGACACGTCCAGACTCTGAAAAGCCTCTTGTTAACAACAGCTGTAAAGTGAGCTTGTTCTATTCTATTGCTCTTTCTCATTTCATCTCTCCCTCTTTAACTTGCTTTCATTTCTGTTTCTCTTACTGTCTGCTCTTGAGGATGGGGGGGGTCTCGAATTAATTAAAAGAAAAAATACTTTGAAGTTGGATACTTGGCCTTAGGGCATTTTGTTCCATTTCCGTTGTGGCTGTAGTTGGATTTTTGTTGTTACCTTGTTGTAACGACACACAGATTCAGCTACTGGACAATGTCATCTAATTAGGCAACTGATGCAGGGCAGCATAAAACCCCTGTGTAAATGGTTCCCTATAGCCAAGCACTTCTTAATGTTTAGCGTCTGATATGTGGACCACTTATGTGTATGTCCTCTTCTCTTACTATTTCTTTCCTTTTATTGTGATTACATTTGTGAACTTGACCTCAGATAAAGTACCTTTAATGTTCCAGTAGCAAAGTAACAGTCAATCCATGCCGCAGGTCGAGAGTAACACATTACAATGTAATTGGATTACTGTAAATTGCCAACTTTTTATTTGTCACAGTTACTGTCACAGTTACTTCTGAAGCACAACACAGACACCTCTGCAGAAATGAGTGATTGGATGTGAGATGTCTGAGATACATGAGTATTTGGATTGTCACTTTATCAACACAAATAATTTTATTTCATTTTTGGTGCTTTGTGATGTAATTCTGTGTAATTTCATGGTTTAGCAGTTGTGTGAATTGAACTATAGTTTCAGACTCTGTTGAGAGTGATGACTAGAGATTAAACTGTGACAGCAGTCTCAAACTTGAGTCGAATGTGTGTTCAGTAAACCCTTCATCATACGCAAGTCTCCTGTAAGAAAGGTATCTTTGTTTTTCTACCACAATCCCTCTCTCCAGTCTCTGTAGCTACTGTAATATAGATAGAGATCTGTCCTTTTTTGTTTCAAAGAGATCATCTGTAAAGGAGTGAGACCCGGGAGCCCCTCAACACAATGAAGTCATATGAGTGGGTGGTGATCTAACCCAAGATGATGGGCTGTCAGCAGCTGCAGCTGTAACTCTGCCGAGACGGACAGAATAAGGACTGAAGTAGCGAGACACAGTTCGAGGGAGGAGACAGAAAGTCAAGTTAGAGGGAGAGGAGACGTACTGTGAAAAAGAGAGAACGGTAGAGAATGACAGAAAGACAGATAACAAGGGGAAAGAGGGCAGGCCAGACTGGAGCTACTCTGCCAAGCGGCCCCTCTCAGCACGGGACTCGTGCCTATTTCCATCCCATCAACCCCCTCCATCTCTGCCACACTCTGTTCACTCTCATGACAAGCCACCTCCACAGCTGAATCAGTGAATGAATGATATTACCTTACCTGCAAGCCCCATGGTGTGCCTCAAGCAACTAAAATGCAATTTGTCATTCATTTCTGATTGCTCCTCCCTCCATTCTAACATGTCTTCCTCTGCTTTCTCTTATCTCTTATTCCACCTTTCTTTTCACTCCTCTGTCTGTCTGTCTCTTTCTCTCTCTCTCCCTCTCTCTCTCTCTCTCTCTCGCTGTAAATCCTCTTTGTATTTATCTCCTTGAATTCTTACTTTCCATGCCAGTAAACATACAGGTGGAACAGTGGATAGATACTAAAAAGTGTATAGTGCTAAAATGAAAGCTGAGGGAATGTCCATGGTTTCCAGTAGAAATAAGTTCTTTGTAAGTTTAAACATATCCTGTTTATAATGCAAGTGTTTACTAAGTGGAGATTTATGCAACACTAATACAAACTACAAACACAAAAGATCTTAATTATATTTAACAAAACTAACTTAAAATACCTGAAAATACAAAACATGTTACAGCTTCCTGTTTACATAGTTTGATTGCTTTTGATTGGATGGAGCTGCAAATATTTCCTATGAACCAATTTACATATAACTAGCTATACTACTAGTCTTTACTAGTAAAGACATGAAGTTTTTATGTTGCAACCTGATTCAGTAAATAGTTTGAAACTAGCAGTTAGCTACAACAAACTAAGGGCTTTACACACATTCTTGTTAAATAGCCTTGCAACCCAAAACTGACTTGTAAAGTTCCAAACAGTTTCCATAGCAGATCTGATAATGATTTAGACAGAATAAGCCATCATATCATGTTATAAAAATGTTGTCCTGGTTTGGCTTGACATTTAATTTTGCCAACTCCTGCATGCCACCATCCCCCCAACACTTGGTGGGGCACCTTCTCCCACCCACCACACCCTCCATTCCTCCCTTTATCCATGTTTTCCTCTTCTTCCTCTGTCTGTCTCTTAGTGGTTCTTTCCGTCTTCCGTCTGTTGTGTGTTTTAATAAGTTTGTTGTTGACTGCTCCTCTGCTTCAAACCCTCTCTCTCAGCCACTCGTCCTGCCTGCTGGGATGAAGCCACAGGAGTGCCAACACAAGTCAAGCAGAACCCTGTCTACACACACACACACACACACACACACACAGAAACATACGTTTTTGTCCGACAGCATGCATGCTCAAATGGGTCGCAACTGTATGTGTGCATATACACCCGCTGACTTACACATAAAGACGGGCAAAAACACACACACATGCATGTATGTAGAGAACAGAGGAGTTTGTTTCACTGCAGTCTCAGGGGAGGCAGCTGTGTTCTGATGTATTAATCATCTTCGTCTCCAGCTTGCTAATTAATGACCCATCTGTCCCCTCTCACTGATGTTCCACTTCAAACTCCCTCATACAAAAACACACTCACACAGGGCTGCGACACAACAACCAAACGCTCGTAACTCCCGCACCCGTTTCGGGGAAAACAAATATTAACGGACACTGTGAGCCACACTGTCTCATCTGCATTCAAGACTTTAAGAAGGGTGCTTGTGGCAACTTTATCTGGAAATAGTTCTCCTCTTCTGTTGCTGTGCGCTTAGGTGGCACATGTGCGATCAGGCTTGCCTGTGTGTGTGTTTATGTGTGCACTTATGTGGGTGTATGTGTGTGTGTGTTTGTAGGCTTATCAGGTGAGCCCGGGCAGAGTGTCAGATGCGGTAATGGAGGCTTCAAAGACAAGCGCTGCGGTGAGTTCCCTGGCTGCCTTTTACCAACCCCCCCACCCCTCCCACCACTCCTCCCCTATCCCTACTGTTTGGACGCAGAGAGGCAGACTGGCACACAGGTAGACACCTGGGTGAATAAGGAAGGGATGCAGGGAGGGCGATAAGCAGCTAGATAAATAATTAAGTGGGTGCAAAGTCAAACAGACAACAGGCAGCTAGAGTAAATCAGGCTGAGCGACAGGCAAAGGAGGTACTGGAGAGCAGCGACGCCACCTGACAGACGGGACAGACAGACTGAGGTACAGTCAGACAGTCAGAGTCGTGGCCAGGTGCTTGTCCAGCCCACCTCCCTTTCACTTGCATGAGTAGAGCTACTTCAAACACCCGCCGCTTGTCTGCTGCTTTGTTCTGCTGTTCTCTTTGCAGCTGTGGTGGTTGTTGTTGTTGTTGTTTTGATACCCATCGTCGTTGCCGCCATTGTTGATTTGTTTCCTTTGAACGGCAGTTCTATTTCTGGATCGCTGTTTGCTTGTTTCCATTTTCATCTTTTGTACTGTATATGTGTGTGCGTGTGTGTCTTTTGTTCTACGATTGATAAACACAGTCACAATTGCGGGATAGTAATTTACTGTTTGATCATTAAAATTGTGTGGAGGTTGATTGGTTTAATTTTTCAGGGATCATATGGCTGTTTTGTGGCTTTAATGTAAAGTATGGCAAGGTCAGGCAGTTAAATCATCATATTACAGACAATATGATAAAACTATCATATAAAACCACTCAATTGCATTATAGGATAGAATTGTTAACAATTGTTGATCGTTAATTGTCTTACCGGTAGCGATAAATATATTTAATTCGAAGGTATTGGCGTGTCGGTGTGACCCTGATATTAAATTATTTTAACATGATGGTCGAAGTCCATACAGATTTTTGTCAGAAATTTAAAGAGCCTTTCAACACAGAGAACCTTTTGAAACTAAAGTGCTGTGCTTTGGTTGAAAGAATTAGTCAGTGAGATTTCCACTTTTCTTTTTGATTATTAATGAATTCATACAGTTCATTCAACATTGTACAAAAAGTGTCATTCTGTATTTCAACATGCTTTCATGTCATAAAAATATATTTTTTAGCACATTGTTTCATGACCACTGTGATCCATCCTAATTTTTACCAGGACTATAGCAACCTAATTTGTCTCACAGGCCTTGATATCATTTGGACCTATTTACTATTTGTAATGACTGGTTGCCAAACAACCGTTAAACATTTGTACAGAAACTTTTTAGCATGGATTTCATATGTTATAAAGCAAACCCCAGGCCATGATCAACAGAAGAATGCACAGAGTAGAGCATCAATATGGAACAAAGGAGTAATATAGTGTTGTGATATTTCCTTTTGATGTCACAGAAAACATAACATAACAATGACATAATTTTATAACACATTTAAGTATATTATTTATCCATTGTAGCTGACTCAATAATGTGTACAGAAATGGCTTTAGTTACTATTAGTAATTTGTCAGTTGCTTTTTATGTCATTTGATTTTCAATGCAGTACCAGGAAAGCACTAAGGTTTGGGCACAACCTTACAGCGCAGGTCTTACAAACTAAACAATCCTTCTGATTTTCAGGATAACTGTAGAAATTAATGAATTTAAAGATATGAACCAGTACCTAGTGGGTATTAGGTTGATGACACGGCACTGAAATCACCAAAAATGTTGTTCTGAAGAAATCATGTAAAATCACAAATGTCAAAAACTGTTCCACTATTTCCAGATTCAAATAACTGACAATGACAATTTTTTTTATTGTTGTAAAACGCAGTTTCAATTAGTCCGTTTTTGGACAGTGTCTGGCTAGCTGAACATTTAAAATTTAAATACATAATAACATTGTCGTGTTTCTACATTCATTACCCAACCTTTGCTGTCAATGAACACTGTGACAGCTATATATGCTAATGTGTTTCTCATTTGTCCTTAATCTTTCCTCCTTCTCCCTTCCAACAGCAAACCCTGGAAAACAACCTGACCAACCTGGTGAAGAGGAACAGTGAACTGGAGAACCAAATGGCCAAGCTCATCCAGATATGTCAACAGGTTGAGGTATGCAAAATGTTTATGTCTTTGTGTGTTTAGGTGTTAGATGAGTCTCAAGTGAAGTCATTAACTCTAAAGCCACTACATGATTTTTTGCACGATTTGCCGCTCGGCGAGCTCGACTCGACATCCACATCCAGCCAATGAGAGCAGTCAGCTGGCAGAACAGGCAGCTACTTTTTCACCGCAAAACACTTTTTTTCTCACCTCCAGCTCTCTCTCAGAAAGACAGAACTTGTCTTCTGGACTTTTCCTCCCGTTCACAGCAGCAGCTACACCGCATGTTAGCCTTTCAAAACAAAACCAATGTGGTAGCCAATGAATTACATCTGCACTATTGTGTTCACTGTCACTTTACTTGGTCCATGCTTGCAAAAATATCCACCATGTCACAATTTTTAACATAATGACTCTCTGATACTCTGAAAAATGCTACAATGTGTCGCCAAATATACCTGGGCTGCCCACCAAAATAAAGTGTATGTGTGGGGAAAAAACACTGACTGAACCGTTGTTTTTTACAAGCCAGGTCTTCAGCAGTGTTGACCGGCACTGTCTCTCCCTCCATGTGGTTAGAGACTTTGTGAGTAGACGGCGGTGAGGGAGAGAGAGGAGTAAACCCTGGCAGGACTTTACGAAATATATCAGTTAACTCAACATCAAACTATATCGGTATACCGATATACCGCCCAGCCCTAGACCATTCCATTCCATTTATAAATGCACCAGCCGCCACTGTTGGCTCCCTTTCCACACCAATAAGCTACTCTGGATTTTCGTTAAAGCCGATGCAGTCCCTCATCCGGCACAATCAATGCGTCAAGCTTCAGAAACAATCTCATAAGAAGCCAGGGTTTCACGTTTAGGCCTATGAATAACTCTACAGAGAAGCTCAGCCTGCATGAATTTTCTCTCAATTCAATTAAATTCAAATTAGCTTTATTGGCATGAACAATGTAACAACAACATTCAAAGCATCACACACAAAAAACTACACTTACCTTGGCCTCAACATTACATACACAGGGAACTTCAACATGGCTGTGAAAGATCTGAGGGACAAAGCTTTCTATGCAATAAAAAGAAACATTAAAATATATAGTCCAATTGAAATCTGGCTTAAAATTTTCCAATTTGTACTAGAACCAATAATTCTATATGGTAGCAAAATTTGGGGGCCAAAACTTAATAATGAATTTGACAAATGGGACAAAACAATCTGTAATTCTGTAAGAGCATCCTGCAGGTGCAGAGAAAAACACCAAATAACCTGTGCAGAGCAGAGCTCGGCCAATACCCCCTCTTACTAAAAATACAGAAAAGATCACTTAAATTTTACAATCACTTAAAATCAGTTAACCCCCAGACATATCATCACAAAGCCCTAACAGCTGAAACCAGAGAAGAGTCCCATCAGCCATCTGGTCCTGAGGCTCTCTGCAGTAACAAGTCCCCAACAGCCTCAGGACAGCAATACCAACTCACACCCACAGAAAGAAAAATATATTGAATACTGGAAAGAAACGACCAAAACACAAAGTAAATTACAATGTTATCTGACCCTAAAAAGAGAATTCACACTGGCAAATTACCTGAGTACGATAAAATGTCCCAAATTAAGAAAAATGTTGACAACATACAGACTGAGTGAACACAGCCTGGCCATAGAAAAGGTTCGCCACAGACAGAGGTGGCTACCACAAGAGGAGAGACTCTGCTCCCAGTGTGACAGGGGACAGGTAGAGACAGAGCAGCACTTTCTAACCTCATGCCCTAAATATAAAACACTAAGACAAAAACACTTTGCAAACATTTCCCAAATATACCCCGAATTCGAATTCATATCAGACACACAGAAACTCCCCTATTTACTGGGAGAAATGCCCAAATGCGAAATAATTGCTGCAAAATATGTCTGTGTTTGTGTTAAAATAAAATAAAATAAAATAAAATAAATGAAACAGTAAAGTGTGTGTGTGTGTGTATATTAATAGACAAAAATAATAATAATTTTAAAAAGAATTAATTGATTAAAAAATAATAAATAAATAAATAAGAAATCAGTATCAAATGTAAAAACAAAACAATTACTAAAATATCAAATGATCAACATAATAATAATTTGAAAATCTGTACAATTATTTGTTAGTCTGAGGTTCCATTGGTCGTCCTCACTTCATGGCATGAGTTGTAATTTAGTGGTGTCTAAATAGAAATTGTGTGTAACCTGATTTCTGTATTGTTTCTGAAAGATCATTATCTTAGTCTTTGCTGTGTTTACTGTCAGGGCCCAGGTCTGACAGAATCTCTGCAGGAGATTAAGGTGCTGCTGCAAACCTTCTTTAGTAGGTGAAAGCAACACTAAGTCATCTGCATACAGCAGACCTCTGATCTCTGTGTCGTTCAGGAGGAGGCCAGGACTGAGATTGCATCTCTCTCTCTCTCTTTCTCTCTCTCTCTCTCCGAGACACCAATTCACACCCAAGTATGTCACTATTAATGATTGTATACAGCTTACTGCCTTTGCTATTGGTGACTGCTCTGATTCCACGCTCCTTACACTTTGTCTCTCACACACATCTGAGTGTACAGCGGTAGAAAGTGACCCTTGATCCTTTTCTTTCTTGCTTTCCTTCTCTTGTAATGTCTCTCACTCCTCGTGGATCGTAGTTTTGTTTGTGCTAGCAGTAAAATCAGCACTCCATTCTTTCAGTTCCCCACACTATATAGCTATATATATAAATGCTGATTAGCATTGAAAGTGAATTTCAGTTCCCAGTCGTGGGGTCATGAAAGGTCAATGTTGCAGCATCGTTAAAATGGATTTTATCTTATCTAAAATAGCCCTTTACAATCGCTGAAATGTACTGTATTTGCGCAGACTGATCTTGTCTGCCATTCGATCCAGTGACTGATGCAATGCACTGCCTTGAAAATGAAAACACCAAATAGCAGTTAGGATCTTGGTGGCCTCTTGTACTTAGCCAGTGGTAGCTCTCCAGACAATCAGACTCAAGCCATGTCTCAAGAATAAAGGATGAGCCGGAACTCTCGGCAACCATCCACTCTCAAACTGTTTAAATGGACAGTTATGTAATTGCAACCTTGGAGGAGGGTTTACACTTTGGTGTCCTGGAATGAACCGATACCTGTCTGCAGATTATACTAGCCACTCTTCCATTTGGGCTCATGCTGTGATTTAATGGAGGTACTGTGTCAATCCAGCCAGAGAGTACTAATGCGTAGCCACTGAGTGCATCACTAACATGTGCATGCACGAACACACACACAAGCGCAGACTTTCTGTCTTAATGCACTCACTCTTAATAAACACCATAATTTCTGTCCAAGATTTGACATTAATGACCACAGAGGACAAATGCACTTTGGTGCCGCCATCACTCTGTCCGCAGCTCATTTCTTATTAGCCGGGCCAGACTCCATTTTCTCTGTGTCACTGTGAGGTCCATGAAACACAATTCTTGCAGCCACTCACCCAATAACAATTAAATGATCGCTGTGTGATTCATTAAGTACAGACAAACTGTTCGTCAAAGGCGCGCTGAGAGAAAAAAAAAGGCTGTCGTCTTTTGTCTTTCTCTGTCTGCATGCCGATGTTGCGCCACCGCCAACAACAACAGCAGAATCTCATCACTTATTCATCAAAAACAAATGAGGAGCAATAGCATGGGGGGGTGCATGCTACATCGACTTATCATTAAAATAAACTATATGTTTTCCCGCTTTGTTTGTACCCGTTCAGAGCTATTCGTGATGCAATTTCAAGAGGGCTAGTTTAATTACTGATGTGAGGAATGAGGGAGCGTAATGTTTTCTGGTGAGTTCACATTAATGTGCAGTGGCTCTTCATGTTTGACGGGAGGAGAGAAGAGGTGAGACGAGGACAAATGAGAAAAAAGATGAAGATGGAGACAGAAAGAAGGAAATGTTGGGAAAAGTAGAGGAGGAGGCGAGCACCAAAGGAAGGAGGAAAAGTAAAGAGGAAGATAAAAGAAAGAAGAGAGAGTAGGACTGAGAGGGCAAGCAGAGGAAGAAAAAAAGAGGACGTGAGTGTTAGCGTGACAACCAATGATCTTTTGACCGAAACAGATACAGGGACTGTGTGGAAGAAAGCGCTCAGCAATAATGCAATACAATACAGACAGGGAATAAAAAAAGAGAGACTTGGTGGAGTGAGAGAAGTTTGTGCAAAGTAAAAAATCTCTGAAGGGCTTTGAGCATGACCTGGATTCCTCTCCTTCGTGTTTGCATCATATTGTATTGGTGCCAAAGATATGATCAAACGCAGTGTGAATCAGTTTCCAGTATGTCAGCACACACTGCAGCAATGCTGTTCTCCATTGCTTCTCTTTGGGGAGTTATCTTCTCTTCAGTCTTCAGAAAAGATGTGTTGACTTGATGATGTGTAGGATGTTTCTTTCTTGATAGGCCTCACTCCTTATCACAGTGGTGGTGTAGGATTGTTAAATCTGTTGCGGTCATGATAATAATAATTATAATAATTTTTGTTGTTGGGCTTTAACACACATCTGTTATTTACTCAGTGCCAGGTAGCTGGCTGGATGTTAATAGGCAGCAGAGAAGAGACACTCAATGAGGCTGTTTGAGCATTACCCTAAAAACTACTTTGATTTAGAATCAGACCATCCTCCCCAAAGATCCGGTCGTATAGGTCGTATGTAGAAGCAGCTTATTATGACGCATACTTTTAAGCAGGAGGCCACTGTTCGTGTCCTGTGTGAAACCAAAAAGCCTACATTGACTTACGCACATAAATTAAGTCACGTGACTTTTGTCCCAAAACGTTTGTCATGTGACTTGTGACTTGTTTTAACCCAAATGACGATCATTTCCTCAACCTAACCAAGTAGTTTTGGTGCCTAAACCTAACTAAACAACATCAACTGTGTGTTTATTATTGTTACCATGACATCACATATGTCGTTTTGGGGAATGTCACATTTGTTGTTTTGGGAGTCATTGGC